CCCTAGCTAATACCCAACACCCTGCGCATCCCCCACATCATCCCTAGCTAATACTTAACCCCCTACTCATCCCCCACATCATCCCTAGCTAATACTTAACCCCCTGATCAGTCCCCACATCCTCCCTAGCTAATACCCAACACCCTGATCAGTCCCCCACATCCTCCCTAGCTAATACCCAACCCCCTGCGCATCCCCCACATCCTCCCTAGCTAATAATAAACCCCTGCGCATCCCCCACATCCTCCCTAGCTAATACCCAACCCCCTGCGCATCCCCCACATCCTCCCTAGCTAATACTTAACCCCCTGCTCATCCCCAACATCCTCCCTAGCTAATAATAAACCCCTGCTCAGTCCCCCACATCCTCCCTAGCTAATACTTAACCCCCGCTCAGTCCCCAACATCATCCCTAGCTAATACCCAACCCCCTGCCCATCCCCCTCCTCCTCCCTAGCTAATACTTAAACCCCTGCTCATCCCCAACATCCTTTATAGCTAATAATAAACCCCTGCGCATCCCCCACATCATCCCTAGCTAATACCCAACCCCCTGCGCATCACCCACATCCTCCCTAGCTAAAACTTAAACCCCTGCTCAGTCCCCCCCATCCCCCCTACCTAATACTTAACCCCCTCCTCAGTCCCCTACATCATCCCTAGCTAATACTTAACCCCCTGCTCATCTCCCACCATCCCTAGTTAATACTTAACCCCCTGCTCATCCCCCCACATCATCCTTAGCTAATACTTAACCCCCTGCTCATCCCCCACATCCCTAGCTAATACCCAACCCCCTGCGCATCCCCCACATCATCCCTAGCTAATACCTTACCCCCTGCTCAGTCCCCCAAATCATCTCTAGCTAATACTAAACCCCCTGCTCAGTCCCCCACATCACCCCTAGCTAATACTTAACCCCCTGTTAGTCCCCCAAATCACCCTTAGCTAATACTTAACCCCTGCTCAGTGCCCCACATCCTCCCTAGCTAAAACTTAAACCCCTGCTCAGTCCCCCACATCATCCCTAGCTAATACTTAACCCCTGCTCAGTCCCCCACATCATCCCTAGCTAATACTTAACCCCCTGCTCATCCCCTACATCACCCTTAGCTAATACTTAACCCCTGCTCAGTCCCCCANCCCACATCATCCCTAGCTAATACTTAACCCCTGCGCATCCCCCACATCTTCCCTAGCTAATACCAAACCCCCTGCTCAGTCCCCTACAACATCCCTAGCTAATACCCAACCCCCTGCTCATCCCCCTGCTCATCCCTAGCTAATACCCAACCCCCTGCGCATCCCCCACATCATCCCTAGCTAATACCTTACCCCCTGCTCAGTCCCCCAAATCATCTCTAGCTAATACTAAACCCCCTGCTCAGTCCCCCACATCACCCCTAGCTAATACTTAACCCCCTGCTCAGTCCCCCACATCACCCCTAGCTAATACTTAACCCCCTGTTAGTCCCCCAAATCACCCTTAGCTAATACTTAACCCCTGCTCAGTGCCCCACATCCTCCCTAGCTAAAACTTAAACCCCTGCTCAGTCCCCCACATCATCCCTAGCTAATACTTAACCCCCTGCTCATCCCCTACATCACCCTTAGCTAATACTTAACCCCTGCTCAGTCCCCCACATCCTCCCTAGCTAATTCTTAACCCCCTGCTCAGTGTCCCACATTATCCCTAGCTAATACTTAACCCCCTGCTCAGTCCCCCACATCATCCCCTGCTAATACTTAAATCCCTGCTCATTCCCCCACACAAAGAATTCTGGGTACTCATAACTTTTAGCATGTGTTAATAATGTAAAGTTATTTATCAAATCTACATAAAACTGTGTTTCTTAATTTGAACCTGTGTGTGCTACTGTAGACTAGCTCTGACTGAAATCTTACTGTTAGTGTGTGTAGCCACTGTTAGTGTGTATAGCCATACATATCTTACTGTTAGTGTGTATAGCCATACATATCTTACTGTTAGTGTATAGCCATATATGCCTTACTGTTTGTGAAAATAGCCAAACATATCTTACTGTTAGTGTGTATAGCCTTACATATCTTACTGTTTGTGTGTATAGCCATACATATCTTACTGTTAGTGTATATAGCCATACATATCTTACTGTTAGCGTGTATAGCCATACATATCTTACTGTTAGTGTGTATAGCCATACATATATTACTGTTAATGTATAGCCATACATATCTAACTGTTAGTGTGTATAGCCATACATATCTTACTGTTAGTGAGTGTAGCCATACATGTTATACTGTTAGTTCTACCCCTGCGAAATGATTATGAATAATTCATGAAACTTCATGA